AACGGGGCCACTGCGTTAGGCTTAAACAGAGCACACGAGGGAAAAGGCAACATGCCGCATGTATTGAGAATATAGCAATTAGCATTTTTTTTTTAGTTCTATGTATATACACATACATTATGCACATAGTTTTATATTGCTATATTCTCAATACATGCGGCATGTTGCCTTTTCCCTCGTGTGCTCTGTTTAAGCCTAACGCAGTGGCCCCGTTCAGAACGGCCTCCATCCACAACAGGAATCCTGAGCCATTCAAGAGGAGGGACTTTCAAGAGCAAATGCAGAACTACCCGAATCTTCTGCGGCTCCCCACCCCCAAGACAATTGTTAACAGGAACTCAGGCAGCCACACGCAGCAGCAAACTGCAGTGTGTGAGAAAGGGCAGACCACAGTGACCACCATACCTCCTTGATCTGGCTGGAGTGATGGGTTTAAGATCCCCTCCCACTTTTACTGCCTTCACACCTGAACCTAACCGGGGAGGAATTTTGGAGATGCGGTCCAGGACTCTGGATGTCACCAAGGAGAGCAGTTACTCCACATTTACACCCGTGTAACCAGAATCTGGCCCAGCGACGGTGCCATAAAACACCTACATGAGTGCTCTCTTCGATTTCCTGTGTGCAATCGATTCCGCCTCCGAGTTCTGTTTGAAGCAGAGCCCAACTCAGACTGTTGAGGGAGTTGCACAAGGGATGAACTTGGCCCGTGATCTTTCTACAGCTAGCTAGTTTCTGAACTCCAAGAAAGATTTCAGACTCCGACAGCCACAGCCCATAGGGCCTAATTGCTCGAGACCTTAATCCCAGTATTAAACTGATGCAACTCCAGTGAAGTAACAGAGGACAATCCAGCACAGAGATCTTTAAACTCAACTTGAAAACAAAAGCTTGTGTCCAGAACAGAATAACTAACACTGATTTCCAGGCTCAAATCTCAAAGGGACTAGAAAGAACCCTCTGCCCACATACATCTATTGAAAGCCTGAGCTCCAGGTTCATCAGTGCCCAGGAGCCCCTGGGGTCCGCTCTACACTACAGACCAATATCGGTATATCTATATCACTCAGGGATGTGAAAAATCCACCCCCCTGAGCAATGTAGTTACACCGACCTAACCTCCCCTTGTAGACAGCGCTATGTGGATCGGAGAGCTTCTCCCACCAACACAGCTACCGCCTCTCGAGGAGGTGGGTTAACTACGCTCTCCCATCGGCGTAGAGTGTCTTCATTACAGTGCTGCAGCAACCCAGCTGTGCCAATGCAGCGTTTTAAACCGCAGGTGCCAGATGGCTTTGGAGAGATGCCAGTCGTCCCCTTACGGACTTGCCGCGGCCTCGTCTGTGCATGGATACCCTGGCCACCAGCTATCAGCACCAAGAGCGTTTGCAGCAAGGCCTGGGGATGCAGCATCAGAAGTGAAGACAACACCAGGTCTGTCTGCAGGTATGTCTACACTAGGAACACTGTAACAGTGGTGCAGCTGCACTGCGGTCGCACAGACACTTTCTTCAGCACCAGGAGGGTTCTTCCATCGCTGTGGTTAATCCACCTCTCGGAGAGGCAGTAGCTAGGTTGATGTCCATTCCTTCCTCCTCCCCCCCCCAAAAAAAATGGATTACGCTGACATGTGAACAATCGTTGGAAAAGTAGATCCAATTACAACTTCACTTTATACTGGATGACAGGAGTCCCCCACTACTGAAATGCAGCCATCTCTGGGGTGGAGCACAGAAGCTGTTGAACAGCACTCAGCAACACTTCACACTACAGTTTGGGACAGGAATTGATAGAGGGGGGAATACAGGGAGGCAGAATGGAATGACTTCAAAACAGGGTTTGCAAAAAGTGCCCTGACTTGGGATCCAACAGGCCAAGTGACGAGGAAAAGGAGACATTAACTTACACTTCTTCAAAGGGTTCTGGGTCCAGCTGTCCAGGGGAATCCAGCCCAACTCCTGTGCAAATGAAACACCCATGGGTAAGTCCCTAGGGAAGCGGAGGTGGGGGCCCAGCAGCAGCGAAACCTCGGCTTCCTTCACATACATTTCATCTCTTGGGGAGAGGTGAATGACAGCAGGGTGAAGGCAGATGCTACCAAGTCTGCCGACTTCTCCACCAAGCTGCCCGCAAGCCAAGCTGAGATGGATTTAAAGTTCATTGCAATTAGGGGGAACAAGAGCACTAGCTCTTGCCGTTCTTTCAAAGGCTTAATTAAGCCTCCCCCCGGTTAATTAGTCAACTGTCATCTCCATTTTATAGACAGGGGAAGCGACCTGCCCACAGCCACACAGAAAGTCAGTGGCAAGCTGAGAACAGAACTCCGGAGTCCTATCTCCCAGTCCCCATGGCTGCAGCCACAAGACCCACTCCTCCCAGAGACAGCAATTAAACCCCGGAGTCCTGCTGCCCTGTGCTCTGCAGCGGTCAGGGAATAAGAGTCTTGTTCCATACCGCTGCTTCTCTCTCTCTCTCTCGCTTTCCCCAGTGTACAGAACGAAGGCTTCCTAGATTCCAACCTCTGCCCGCCCCAAATTCCCCCGCGGGCCAAGGGGGCTGGACTGCAGCTCCGCCCAGAGCCCACAGTGCAGGAGGTGCCAGGAGCTGCTGCCTTCTCCCAGAGGGATTGATTTAATCACACACCCCTCCACCACATCAATGGGTTCCCTTATCTGGAGATGGCCAATAACTTAAAGGCAAGTCAGCCTCATTTCTCCCCGCCACACCGCTCCAGCGGCAAGCAGCATTCCAGATAGATGGCTTAAACGCAGCTGGGACCTTAGAGCAGATTTCAACCCAGGGGGCAGGTCACTCAACCCAGATCATTTTTAGTGATAATAGTGTAAACAAAACCCAGCCCAGGGGGCCATTAACTGTCCATCCGTATTCCATGCATTGGAATTCAATCAGGCAAGGATTGGATTCCTAGCACGCTTTCCCCTCCACTCAGAGCATCCCTGGCTTCCCGCGCTGGCTGGGGACCTGGGACCCTAGCAATGCTCTGGACCTTAGGAAGCGTTACCTAGGGCAGTGGTGGAATCACCTTCCTTAGAGGTTTTTAAGGTCAGGCTTGACAAAGCCCTGGCTGGGATGATTTAGTTGGTGTTGATCCTGCTTTGAGCAGGGGGTTGGACTAGATGACCTCCTGAGGTCCCTTCCATCCCTGATAGTCTATGATTCTATGACGCTCCCGACGGGAAATGAAGGCTCTCCCCATAGGGGGACGAGAGGGCCAAATGGAAGAGTGTCTCTTTAGCGAACGTTCCCCCCACGACGGGGACAGCAAAGGCCGAGGCCAGACACAGCCGGGATCTGTTTAAACGGGAGGGAATGTAGTTCATGTGGAAGTGAGCTGCGGACAGCACAGACCAGAGGCAGGCAATGTGTATGCATGCTTCAACCCGGACCCGCAGCCCCCTGCGGTGCCAGTCCTGGGCCTCCCCCACACACAGCTGGGCCCAGGCCCCTCGGTTCCAGTTGCTATTCCACTCCTGGAACAGTTAAGGCTCCTCACACCGGTTCTGCCGCACGGTACCCCGCTCCACGCTATTCCAGGCCTTGACATGCAGCACTGCAAACTGCATGGTGGGTAAGTGGTACAAAGACATGGGAGACCTCCCCCTACACTCTCCAAACGAGAATTGCACTTGGAGACCTGGCCCTGCCCCAGCGTCCAGGGACTAAAGCCAAAGGAGCGGCCCCACCCCCATCCCCGCTCCACGGCAGCACTGACCTGAATCCAAAGACTCGGACCACCCGGAGTCCTGCGACGACTCAGACGAGACGGAGTCCTGCGACAGCGAAGACCATTCGCTCTTGAAGCCGATCTCCAGCTTCTTCCTCTTTGGGGTGTCATATGGACTGGAAGGGGGGGGCAGAGAACAATTACTCAGAAGCCAGCAGGCAAGCCAAGCAAGAGGCATGGTGACCCACCTAGGCGGAGGCGGGGGGACAGCGGCTCGGCAAGGCACCAAGGTTCAGGACTCCTGGGTTTCTCTTATGCTAACCCCGCCACAGACCCACTGGATCTTCGGCGAGTCTCTCGTGCCTACGTTTTCTTAGGTGTTCACTGATTTTGGGTGCCCAACGTGAGACACTCAGTGCTTGGTTTTCAGGAGGTGCCCAACCCGAGACAGATTTAAGGCACCCAAAGTCAGCAGCGACTTTTGAAAATTTTGGACCCCAGCCCCACTCATTGGTAAAATGGGCATAACGCTATCGCCAGCCGTCCTGGGATCCGAGAAGGCTGGGTCCCTTACATCTGCGGAGCCCTGAGATCCACAGAGGGAGGCGGTGGAGGAGGGGGAGCTAGCTTGAAAGAATCGTTAGCTATGAGCCAGAGATAATGGTGTTTAGCTCCGTTCCTCCAGGGACCTCCCAGTGTTTTACAATCCCGGGGCAGGCTCCTTATCTCCACTTACAGATATGGGAAGCCGAGGGGGCAGAGAGGAAGTGATTTGCTCAAAGTCAGAGATGGACTCTGGGGCAGCGCGTCCATCTCCAGAGGATTAAAACAACAAGGCATAGCCTCAGTTGCATAAACTGGATGTCAAAGACGTCCATGGAGCTGGACGCTGCTTTATACCCCCCGAAGGGTCTAGTCCAACATTTTTCCAGCACCTGTCACCTGGAAATGCCTGACCTGGACCTGACCAGTTATCCAGAAGCCCATAAGCAATACTGCCAGCGGCTTCAACAGGGCCAGGATCTCATCCCTTCATTCCCCGAACATTCCCCACCCCCTGGGAGGGAAAAAAATTCTGCTACATGGAGCAGGATCCCCGACACCCGCCCGCCCGCTCTATGGAGAAGGGCCAAAGGTTGCTCTCGGTTATGTGGCTGTACGTCCCTACCCGCTGCACACATGGAACCCAGCACAGAGAATTCAGGTCACTCATCAATTTGGGGACGGAGCTTGCACGGTCTGCCAGTGAAACCATGGGGAACTTTGCACCGATGCCTTTGGGGAGAGCAGGATCGGGCCCCTTAGCATTGCCCTGTGCAGTCAAGACTGCAGCTGATGGTAACAGAATACTCTCCGTCCCCCCACGAGCCCTCTTGGAAGGGAGGCAAACAGGAAAAATGAAACTAGGCCAGGCACAGCTCGCAGAAAGCCTGCCACTTCCTGCCCAGAGTCATTCTGAACTGGCTGTTCCTACCCAGAGCCCACATGAGCAGCTATTCTACAGCAAGGAACATAAGCAGCTCTGTTCCCCCCGCACTTGGGCCTTGAACTAAGGCATGGAAATAACATTCATCACCCCGCATGTAACTTCCCCGGCTCTGGCTTCAAAGCCAGCTTGGAAAAAAATCTGTTCCCTGAGGCCCAAATCCTGAAAGGTATTGCCTCAGTACAGGGTGCAAGGGAGATTTCACACTGCCCCTGAGCTCAGAAAAAGCAGGGCCTAGGGTGCGTCACCGCAGGGCTGCAATGGTTGGTTATTTATGCCGGGCTCTTAAAATAGTTCTCCGGAGCGGGAGAACTGGGACACTGAGCAAGAGAAGAGAAGATTGGCTGTTTTTCTAAATCAGGGGTTCTCAAACTGGGGGTCAGGACCCCTCAAGGGGTTGCAAGGTTATTACATGGGGGGCCGCGAGCTGTCAGCCTCCACCCCAAACCCTGCTTTGCCTCCAGCATTTATAATGGTGTTAAATATATAAAAAAAGTGTTTTTAATGTATAAGGGGGGTTGCACTCAGAGACTTGCTGTGTGAAAGGGGTGACCAGTACAAAAGTCTGAGAACCCCTGTTCTAAATGGTTTGCTCTGGGAATTATCGCCGGCCTGGGGAATGCAGAGGGTCAGACTAGATAGTCACAATGCTCCCTTATGAATCGGGACATCACTAATGGGGCTCGATTGTGAGTGCACCCTGGTGTAAGTCCAGACCTGTGCGTGCACTGGCACAGCTGGGCACTGCCATCCCCGGCTCGGCCCTCAGACACACCAGGGCAGCTTCACTTCTTCAGGAGCAGGGTCAGAATCAGGCCTGCTTAGTTAACTTCCCAGCCACGCTCTTCCCAGCTGAGCCGCATGGCGATTTGCCCTTCCCCCAGGGCAGGTAGGGCTGACAGCCCAGCCGTGTGCTCTGTTCTGGAACCCTCTCTTTGGGGGTGGGGAAGGGGAACACATGCACCAACTAAGCCCTGGGGCCTGCCCCGCTGGGGACCAGGGCCAGTGGCTGCTCTTGGGGTGGAGGGAATATTTTGCAGTTTGGGGTTTTGATCCTGCACCCTCTGCATGGGTTATATGAAATACAGGAGGCAACCCCAGCCCCGCACTCCCCAATACGTTATAGACCCCCCCCCATGCCACAGATCCAGCAGCCAGGTCGTCTTCCTCCTCACACCAACATAGCCTGCATGTGATACACACACACACAGTACATGGAATGCACTCATATCATACACACACACTGACAAAGAGTACATGCAATCCACCCTTCCCCC